TTTTCAAATAATCAGGGCCTGACACTGTGGTTCAGCAGGTTAAGCCTTCAGCTGTGATGACGGCATCCGATATGGGCGCCGGTTCGAGTCCTGGTTGCTTCCCTTCCGATCCAGCTCCCATATAATGTGCCTGGGAAAGCAATGGAAGGTGGCCCAAGTGCTCAGGCCCCTGCTATCCATGTGGGAGACCTGGATGGAGTACAAGGCTCCTGGCTCCAGTCTGGCCCAGCCCCTGTGGTTACTGCCATTTGGGAAGTGAACCAGTGGATGAAAGATCTTTCTCTGTCCCTTCCTCTCTCTCTTTTGGCCTTTCAAGTAAATCAGGAAATATTTTTTTAAAAGGATAGCAATGAGCCGGTGCCGCGGCTCAACAGGCTAATCCTCCACCTAGTGGCGCCGGCACACCGGGTTCTAGTCCCGGTCGGGGCGCCGGATTCTGTCCTGGTTGCCTCTCTTCCAGGCCAGCTCTCTGCTGTGGCCTGGGAGTGCAGTGGAGGATGGCCCAAGTGCTTGGGCCCTGCACCCCATGGGAGACCAGAAGCGCCTGGCTCCTGGCTTCGGATCAGCGCGGTGCGCCAGCCGCAGCACGCCAGCCGTGGCGGCCATTGGAGGGTGAACCAACGGCAAAGGAAGACCTTTCTCTCTCTCTCTCACTGTCCACTCTGCCTGTCAAAAAATAAATAAAAATAAAAATAAAATAAAAGGATAACAATGGTCACTTTTATTGCCTGCATTGTGGTGCACCCCACATGTGAACCGTAAGAACTGAACCAGCTCTTCACTCTCATAGCTCAGTGCTCCTGAACTCCACAGGTTCGCTGGCCAAGTCACCGCCCAGCCGCCTGTGCCTGTGGCCTCGGGAGACTCGGCAGGGGCGTCGCGGGCGACCTGGACTTTCCCAGCAGGCAGGAGGCGGCTCTCCAGGAGCCCTGCCCCTGCGGCTCAGCAGCAGCAAGCGGTGACCTTGTCCCAAGCATAGCACCCTGGGTCTAAGAGGGGTCAGTAACCCCCAGTCCCAGGGCCTGGACTGCACTGAGGGAACAGCACTGCAGGCACCTGCCAGGCCCCACCACCCGCACACCCACCGTTCCACGCACACGAGCGGCTGCACAAAGCCACAGGCAGCAGCTCCTAAACCCCTTCCTGCTTCACACCTGTCCCAGACCTCCCAGCCCCGTGCACCCCGCGTGGCCGGGAAGGCGGGGCCGGGGGCTTGGGCGGCATCACTGCCCATCCCTGGGTTTCATCTCCTCGTCAATACAACGATGGCACAGGCCCAGGAAGCCCAGGCACTGCGGCCACCAAAACTCATCGCCCTGCCTGCCCTGTGACAGCAAGAGGGAGCCAAGAAGCGCGAGGCTGGGTCTGGGTCTTGGGTCAGAGACACCTGATCCTGCAACATTTAGCTACTCGCCAGGTGCTCAGGAGGTAGAGATGTCAAAGCACTGGCTCCACGGCCGCAGGAGACCCACAGCCAGCTTCCTCCCCCCTGGACAAGAGCCGTGCACACGCTCTGTGAAAAGCACAGGGCACCTCGTGGCCGTGCACACGCCAGCACCTGTTCCCAGGTGCCGCTGATGCCACACCCAGTGAAGCAGGCAGGTGTATCTCAGGTGTTCACGGAAGGGCAGCCAGGAGGGAAGCAGGGGGTCACTTGTGTTGTCTGGAAACCGGGCTGCCAGGCAGGGTCTCCAGACCCCTGCCTAACCACCATGGCACTGCCTTTCAGGCCACAGCTTCTTCATTCTGAACACGGGTGCAGGGCCCAGCCGCATCGCTGACCTGGCTTTCCGATGCCTTTTGTCAAGACGAACTCCGCATAAACCCTAAACCACCTCCTTGCAGGCTACAAGACTTTTACATATTTCTGTGTCTCCGGTACCCACCTCCCAGCCCCTCCAGCCTTCAGAGAGGGAAGGCACGGCACAGTGGGGCGGGGTTCCCAGCAGCCTCGACGCCCTCTGGCCCCGGCTTCACCAAGAGCAGAGGGAACTTGCCCTGTGCCCCAGCACCACTTCAGACCTCTGTGACACCAAGAGATGAGCCACATCCCAACACAGCCCCTGCCAAGCCAGCAACTGGGTCAGCAAGACGGCAGCCCAGGAAGCAAAGCAGAGTCTGAGATGACGCATTCCCAGCTGCTTCCCGTCAGTGCTGGCCGACGCATCCATCACCCGTACAGCAGTGTCCGGAAGAACCCGCACCCACCCACACAGGGGCCCCTGACGACCGCGAAACGAGCGCGACGGGGCTACTTGGGAGTAAGCAGTTAAGAGCTGAACCTGTTCGGGATGTGCACAGGTGGACCGCGTGTCTGCACACGGCAGGCGCAAGACTTGGCACGTGCTCGGCACACACAGGTGGAGGTGCAGGTGCACGGATTGTAGGCCTGGCCACTGGTACCAGATTGCCCCACGGTGGAGGCAGCTGCTAATTGGGCAATCAGTGGGTACCGGTGTGTCAGGGAGAGCACCACAGGAGGGCAGAGACACAGACGGGGGGAGGGGGGACGGTGCCGGCAGGACAGGCAGAGGCGCGGTGTAAGCAGAACCACGGGGCAGAGAGCTGAGCACTACAAGGGCTGTGTGGGGCAAACTGGGGCGCGATGCGGTCTTAGGACAGCAGATAGTAAACAAGGCCACCGCAGAGGCTGCCACACACACAGATCTGCCACTTCGGTGCAAGGGGAAGAGCTAGGAAGGTACAGGCAACAGCAGCCATCCCACAGGCCAGGAGCCCAGACACGGCCCTGAGACGTCACTCACCTCACTCCTGGGCCCTCGAGGCCCCGTCTGACACACAGCCCGCTCCAGTCCAGGTGCCCAAGCAAGTCTGCCCTAAGTCACCAACTCCTGCCCCCTCTTTAGTCTGTCCACGGCTCATTTGTCTGAATACTTCAGATGATTCCAGAACACCTCAGTCTGCCTCACTGTGACGCGTCAGGTCCAGCAAGACAGAGGCTCCTGGGAAGTCGGGCGGCCAGCACCCCTCTCTGCCCTTCTCCCTGGCTGGCTGCTTCCTCCCAGGGTCTAACTGCAACAACAGAGGGCGACCAGCCTGGGGACGTCGCCCTTGCTCCCTCCTCCAGGCCCTGAGCCCGTCAGGGACCCGACAGACAGCACTTCCTGCATGCAAATTCCACCTGCCCAGCTCCCAGGGTCTCGGCAGGAAGCAGAGGCCTGACTGCTCCTCAAGCCTTTCACGGCCCCTCCCTCCCCACCTGCACCACAGCCCAGAGCCTGCCCTGAAAGCCAAGTTTCAGCCCTGGAGCTGGCCCCCAGGCCCCCAGGCCATTTGGCTCCACCCAAGGACCAGGGCAGGAGGATGCTGACCCCCTGGTGACCCTGCTCCTGCCAGTACCCAACCCCAGCCTCAGCGGCAAGCCACACCCCACTCCCCACCCCGCCACCATGGGCTCCAGGGCCCTGCCATGGAAGCCACGTTGCTCTTGGCACCTGTTCTGGGTGCTGTGCTGAGATGCTCCAGAACTGGGGTTCACCCGCAGATACCAGCACACACAGAGACAGGTGCAGACAAGGGAGGCAAAACTCCCACAGGCCACAGTGAGGAGGAGCCCAGCACCCACAGTGAGGAGGAGCCCAGCACCCACAGTGAGGAAGAACCCAGCACCCGCAGTGAGGAGGAGCCCAGCACCCGCAGTGAGGAAGAGCCCACCACCCGCAGAGAGCAGTGAGGAGGAGCCCACCACCCACAAGAAGGAACCCACCACCCACAGTGAGGAGGAGCCCAGCACCCGCAGTGAGGAGGAGCCCACCACCCACAGTGAGGAGGAACCTACCACCCACAGTGAGGAGGAGCCCACCACCCACAGTGAGGAGGAGCCCAGCACCCACAGTGAGGAGGAGCCCAGCACCCGCAGAGAGCAGTGAGGAGGAGCCCACCACCAACAGAGAGCAGTGAGGAGGAGCCCAGCACCCACAAGAAGGAACCCACCACCCACAAGAAGGAACCCACCACCCGCAGTGAGGAGGAGCCCACCACCCGCAGAGAGCAGTGAGGAGGAGCCCACCACCCACAAGAAGGAACCCACCACCCACAGTGAGGAGGAGCCCAGCACCCGCAGTGAGGAGGAGCCCAGCACCCACAGTGAGGAGGAGCCCAGCACCCGCAGAGAGCAGTGAGGAGGAGCCCACCACCAACAGAGAGCAGTGAGGAGGAGCCCAGCACCCACAAGAAGGAACCCACCACCCACAAGAAGGAACCCACCACCCGCAGTGAGGAGGAGCCCACCACCCGCAGAGAGCAGTGAGGAGGAGCCCACCACCCACAAGAAGGAACCCACCACCCACAGTGAGGAGGAGCCCAGCACCCGCAGTGAGGAGGAGCCCACCACCCACAGTGAGGAGGAACCCACCACCCACAGTGAGGAGGAACCCACCACCCACAGTGAGGAGGAGCCCACCACCCACAGTGAGGAGGAGCCCAGCACCCAGAGAGAGCAGTGAGGAAGAGCCCACCACCCACAGAGAGCAGTGAGGAGGAGCCCAGCACCCACAAGAAGGAACCCACCACCCACAAGAAGGAACCCACCACCCGCAGTGAGGAGGAGCCCACCACCCACAGTGAGGAGGAGTGCACCACCCACAGTGAAGAGGAACCCACCACCCACAGTGAAGAGGAACCCACCACCCACAGTGAGGAGGAACCCACCACCCACAGTGAAGAGGAACCCACCACCCGCAGTGAGGAGGAACCCACAACCCACAGAAAGGAGGAGCCCACCTCCCGCAGTGAGGAGGAACCCACAACCCACAGAAAGGAGGAGCCCACCACCCACGGTGGCCCCCCAGCCCCACTTCCTTCCCCATCATCCACACTGCCCAATGATCAGCATCCGACCACATGGGCCACAGACCCAGCTACCAAGATCGGGGTGCAGGCAGGAGCTGCAGCAGGGCCACCAGGACCCTCGGGTAAGAGGGCCAACCTGGAGCCAGGTCCTCCCCACGGCGGCCTTGGCCATGAAAACCCCACCTCACCTTTCATTCCAAACTTGGACCTCCGCCCGTACTTGTTGATCATGACAAAGAGAACGACCAGCAGGACGCAGGCAAAGGCAGCCAGTCCCACAGCGATGGACACCTGCCGGGAGCCAAGGGGACAGTCAGGGACAGTCACTGAGCCCAAGTGCCACAGAAGCAGTGTGTGTGCCCCATGGCAGGGCCTGGCCGAGCTCTGCCACTGAGCACCGTCCCCAGGAGAAGCCATGTGGAGACCCAAGAACACGCGAAACAAACCCTGGAAGAGGACGTCACCCACACTGGCCAGAAAGCGCCACGGCGTGCCCCCTGCCCCTCCCACCAGGGCTGTCCCAAAGTCCAGGGCAGCCTCGGAACTGTTTCAATTTCCCAGCAAGTTCTGCACTCCACTTCAACACCCAGGCCCCTCAGCCCCTTCCAGGAGGAGCTTAGAGACCTGGGCCCCAGAAGACCCCTTTCTTCCCCTCCTCAGAGCCATCTCAGGCCCTGGGAGAGGGGGCGGAGCTGATAAGAGATGCCCACGTTGCCCACAGAGACACCCTGAGCCCCTGCAGTCGCATGGCCAGCAGCCCCAGAGATGGGGTCTTTCCAGGTGCTCTCTCCCAGACCCTGGGCCTTGGAGCCGACCCCCGAAGCCTTCCTGAAACCAGGAACTCTCCCACCACACGGGAAGGCATACGCGGCTGACAGCCACCTGCTCATCCCTGCTTTCTCCTGCCCCAAGTCCTGGGGTTCCAAGTAAGGTGAGATTTGGGAAAGCAGTAACTAGACGAAGCCTGAGGGCTCCCTGCCTCTCAACCATACAGTGACTCACCCCAAAAGTGTCTTCCTCTGGTTTGTGGGTCACAGTGATAGGAGGCGTGGGGCTCACATCAGCGGCAACTGAAAACCAAACATGAGGAGGAGGCCATCAGCTCAGCTGCTGTGGACCCGCACCACGCCCCACCCCTCCCCCAGCCTCCAGTGTCAGCTCAGCTGCAGTGGACCCACACCACCCCCACCCCTCCCCCCAGCCTCCAGTGGAGCCTGCTGTGGACCCGCACTACCCCCACCCCTCCCCCCAGCCTCCAGTGTCAGCTCAGCTGCTATGGACCCGCACCACCCCCACCCCTCCCCCCAGCCTCCAGTGGAGCCTGCTGTGGACCCGCACTACCCCCACCCCTCCCCCCAGCCTCCAGTGGAGCCTGCTATGGACCCGCACTACCCCCACCTCTCCCCCCAGCCTCCAGTGGAGCCTGCTGTGGACCCGCACCACCCCCACCCTCGTGGAGCCTGCCGTGGACCCGCACCACCCCCACCCCCGTGGAGCCTGCTATGGACCCGCACCACCCCCACCCCTCCCCCCACCTTCCAGTGGAGCCACCTGGAAGCCAGTCTCCAGCCACCTGGCTTCCCAGGCTCTGCCCAGTCTCAGAGACCAGTTCCCTGCCGAGCCAACAGCCCAGTGCAGGCTCCAGAGGAAGAGCAGCCTCCACTTGCACCCCGCCCCCACCCCAGGGACAGCGCCACCACCTGGGCTCAGTGCACCCGGCTCCAGGCTGGAGGAGAAGAGGCCTGGGGTCCTGGCCAGCGTGGGATGAGCAGGCTTCCCTGGTGGCAGCTGCTGCCGGCACTGCAGCTCCACCGGGCAGACAAGGCTTTCCGCGGCCTGCCTGCACCCTTCCCTCTTGCTCCTGGGCCCCACAAACAGCCCACCCCTCCCCTACCTGAGTGCAGTAACTCAGGTGGAAAACGGAACCATCTGAGCCCGAAGCACGCTTCACCCAGCCAGCCCCAGACGGCCCTCGGCCCTTGCTGCTGCCACCCCCACTCCCCCACAGGGAAGAAAGGGTTACAAACGTGAGTCTCCCTGCCCATCTCGAGCAAAATCCCAGCCTTTTATGGTTGTGTATCCCTGACACCAAATCATCTCTAAATCGAAGCTCAAAATCCCACCCAGGACACAGGAGCTGTCAGGAGACCCCACAGATCCCACCTCCACCCCAGGGGAGCTGGCCGGCAGCTGGGCTCCTGACGCCAGGGAGAAATGCAGCAGGAGCAGACTCCCACTCTCTCTACAAGGACCATGGAGGCAACCGAGGGGGGCGTGCCAGGGCGTAGGAAACCCCGAAGCCCCTCTCCTGCGGGTAGGGCAGCCCACAGCATGGCCAGAACTCAGGGGTTCCCTGGGGAAACCGAGACATGGAACAACCACCCACAAAGAGGGGCTCAGAACTGCCCGAGCCATGTCTCTGCCCCCCCACACCTGCTCACGCCCACCACGCTCTCCGCCACTGTGGGCGGGCGAGCTGCACCAGGAAAGCTTTGTGGATTCCAGTTATCAAAGGTCTCAGAACCAACACACTTCAGAGCAACAGAGAAGGAGACTTACCTAAGTCAAAGATATCTGTGCTCTCTGCAAAAGAGGATGGAGAGAGTTAACAAGTGCAACAAAATCCAGAGCACGCTGTCCTAGCCACTCGGCCCTCCCGCTCACCAGCATCCCTGTTTCCATGGCAACCGACATGGAGCTCCTTGGTGCACCCCATGCTGCACTGCAGGGAACAAGAGACGATGTTTCAGGGCAGGGGCCCACCTGGGCGCTAGCTCCAGTACTGTGTGGGGAGTTGACCCCAACCAATCCACTGCCTTATACAGCCCATCCCCCTTCAGGCCCACAGCACGGGGACAGTGCTGCAGAGGGGCTTCCCGGGACAGCCTCAGGGTGAAATTCCCCAGATCGGTCCAAGGAGCGGATTCTGGTCAGTGGCACAGGAGGCCCTGGGAGTGCCTCCCTCTAGAATCTAGGCTCGTCTAGATGAGGGAATCTTAGCAATGAGGAGCTCAGGAAGTGAAAGAAAGATTCTGTACACAGCCCAGCCACAGACAAGTCACACAGAAGAGACATCTGAGCTTGAAGCCGGGTCTTCTGAAATACCCGTCAGATGGGGAAAAACTGCTTCAAAGTAAGCGAAGACAGCTTCTGAGACCTGTGGGACACAGTGAAACACCTGTTCAAACGTGGGGGATTCCTGATGCACAGACAGGAGCAGAGGGTGAGAAAACCTGCACCCCGACAGGACAGGCACCCCACAAAGAGGACTGGGAAAACCTGCACCCGGCACCAGGACAGGCACCCCACAAACAGGGCCAAAGAGGACTGGGAAAACCTGCACCCCAGCACCAGGGCAGGCACCCCACCAAGAAGACTGGAAACCTGAGCCCCTAAGGGACAGGCACCCCACAAAGAGGACTGGAAAACCTGTGCCCCAACACTAGTACAGGCACCCCACAAAGACTGGGAAAACCTGCATCCCGGCACCAGGACAGGCACCTCACAAACAGGGCCAAAGAGGACTGGGAAACCTGCCCCCCCGCACCAGGGCAGGCACCCCACCAAGAAGACTGGGAACCTGAGCCCCTACGGGACAAGCACCCCACAAAGAGGACTGGAAAACCTGTGCCCCAACACTAGTACAGGCACCCCACAAAGACTGGGAAAACCTGCATCCTGGCACCAGAACAGTTACCCCACAAAGAGGACTGGGAAACCTGCCCCCCAGCACCAGGACAGGCACCCTACAAACAGGGCCAAAAAACTGTGTCACAGTTGAGCCAGAACAGCACAGCACAAAGAGAACACACAGAGGAAGCACCAGGCCCTCGTCTGTAGGAACCCTGTGACGTTCACAGCAGACTGTTCACAGAAGCCTTACAGGCCACACAGGAAAGGGCTGCTACATCCCAAGCTCTCAAAGACAACAGCTGTCAACCAGGAACACTGAATCCAGCAACTTACTTTTCATAAACAAAGGCAAGACCCAGACTTTCCAACATGGGCACAAGTGAGGGAATTCATCACCACCAGACCAGCCTCACAAAACCCGCGTGTGGGGGTCGGACATGCAGAAGCAGAAGAACCACCGTGAAGACACACAGCCGCAGGCAGAAGAACCACCGTGAAGACACACAGCCGTACACACCCTCCAGGAAGAGAACCAGGAGACTCACATGAGCAGCGGTAACTTCTGAAAACGAAAAGACTGGGTCATTGCTTATCCATAATAACCTTGAATGTAAATGGGTAAATTCCAATTAAAATACACAGACTGGCTCAACCTATGAAAAACAAGCGCCAACAGCACTTCTGCAGAGAACACACACAGAGTGAAAGCAGGGTGGAAGGTGGAAAGGTTGTCCCCACAGACAGACACCGACAGGGAGCAGGAGGAGCCACCCTCATATCAGGTAATGCAGACATGAAGACAGGGACTGCACAGACCCAGAAGGCCCCTGGGTGATGACAAGGGGTCAGCTGACAGGAAATCACACCACTGTAACTGTACCTATTGGGGCACCCCATTTTATTAAAGTTAGATGTAAAGAAAGAGACCGGTTCCGATGCAAGAACAGCGTGGGACTCAACACCCCACTTCTATCAACGGACAGATCACCCAGACAAAAGTCACAGGGAAGTCAGCGTTAAACTACACTGCAGGCCACACGAGCCCAGCGGCCACCAAGGGAGAGCCTCACCCAGCGGCTGAAGAGCCTGCATTCTGTCCACCGGCACACGGAACATTCTCTAGGGAAGACCCCGTGTTAGCCCACAAGTCGCCACAGATTCCGAAGAATCAAAATCATATCATGCATCATGCAACAGCTCTGACCACAGTGGAATAAAACTAGAATCAACAACAAAACCAACTCTAGAAGTTATACAAACAATGTGGTTCTGAATGGACGACAGGTCACCGAAGAAATCAAGAAGAAAATTCAAAAATGCCTTGAAACTAACGAAAACAGAAACACAATCTATCCACACTTGGAGGATACAGCAAGAGCAGTTCTAAGGGACCGGTGTGTGGTGGAGCAGATAAAGCTGCCACCTGCGACACCAGCAGCCCTTATGGTTGCCAGTTCCAGTCCTGGCTGCTCCACTTCTGATTTAGCTCCTGCTATGGCCTGGGAAAGCAGTGGAAAGAAAGATGATCTGAGTCTTTGGGCCACTGCATCCAAGTGGGGACCCAGAAGAAGCTCCTGGCTCCTGGCTTCTGACTGGCCCATCTCCAGCCATTGCCAGCAGATGGAAGACCTTTCTCTCTGTCTCTCCCTCTCTCTGTCTGTAAATTTACCTCTCAAATAAATACATCTTTTAAAACAGTCAGAGATGGCCAGCACCGCGGCTCACTAGGCTAATCTTCCACCTTGCGGCGCCGGCACATCGGGTTCTAGTCCCGGTCGGGGCACCGGATTCTGTCCCAGTTGCCCCTCTTCCAGGCCAGCTCTCTGCTGTGGCCAGGGAGTGCAGTGGAGGATGGCCCAAGTACTTGGGCCCTGCACCCCATGGGAGACCAGGATAAGTACCTGGCTCCTGCCATCTGATCAGCGCGGTGCGCCAGCCGCAGCGCGCCGGCCGCGGCGGCCATTGGAGGGTAAACCAATGGCAAAAGGAAGACCTTTCTCTCTGTCTCTCTCTCTCACTGTCCACTCTGCCTGTCAAAAAATAAAATAAAATAAAATAGTCAGAGATGAAAAGGAGATATTATACTGATATCATAGAAAGACAAAGGATCATTAGGGACTGTTATAAATAACTACATGCCAATAAAATTGAAAGCCTAGAAGAAATGGATACATTTCTGGTTATATATAACTTACAGAAGTGGCATCATGAAGAGGTAGACAATCTGAACAAACTGATAATGATGAATGAGCCTGAATCAGTAATAAGCTTCCCAAGAATGAAATGCCTAGGACCAGAAGGCTTCACTGCTAAGTTAGGTCAAACTATTTATTTATTCATTTTTATTCGAAAGGTAGAGGTACAGAGAGATGGAGACACAGAGACAGACAGAACTCCCATCCCTGCTCACTCTCCAAATACACACCACAGCCAAGGCTGGAGCGTGTCCCATGTGGTGGCAGGGGCCCGACTGCTGGAGCCATCCCCTGCTGTCTGCCAGGGAGTGCAAGTCAGGCGAACTCAGGCTCTCCTACACAGGGCACAGGCACCCAGGCAATGTCTTCATAGCTGTGCCTGATGCCTGCTCCTCAACCAGACTTTGAAGCAAGAACTAACATAAATTCTTCAACTATCCTAAAATATCAGACGGGAAGGAACTCAGCCAAACTCATTCCATGAGGACAGCCTTAGCTTGCTTCTGAAACCAGACAAGGCCACAACACCGACACAAACAAAACTAGAGACCAATACCCCTGACAAACAGAGATGCAAGAATTCCCAACAAACACCAGCAATCAAATCCAGCGACATATCACTGGAATCTACCCTAAGAACGCATCCAGATCACAGATCTCCACATCACAGATCAGTAAATGAGACGTATCCCACAGCAGAATGAAGGACAAAGTCACGCGAGCATCCCAACAGCTGCAGAAAAGACCTCCCAGGAAGCGCACCATCCATTCTGCTTACACCCGGAGCAAATCAGGTGGACCAGGAACAAGCCTCATCACACTAAAGGCTTTACGTGATAAACCCACAGCCACCACCATGCCGAATGGTGAGAAGCTACAAGCATTTCCACCAAGGTCTAGAACAGGCAAGAATGAGCACTCTCACTACTCTTATTCAATGCAATACCAGAAGTTTTGACAAAGCCATTATGCAAGAAAAAGAACTAAAAATCGTACAAATACAGAGGAAGTCAAATTATCCCTGTCTGCAGACAACAAGATTCTACACATTTGGAACTCAGGACACCACAATGACCATCAGAACTTGGGACACACCCAGAGACCATCAGAACTCAGGATACCACCTAGATACCATCAGAACTCGGGACACCCAGAGACCATCAGAACTTGGGATACCCAGAGACCATCAGAACTCGGGACACCAACCAGAGACCATCAGAACTCGGGACATCCATAGGCCATCAGAACTCAGGATACCACCCAGAGACCATCAGAACTCCGGACACCCAGAGACCATCAGAACTCAGGATACCCAGAGACCATCAGAACTCAGGACACACCAAGAGACCATCAGAACTCAGAACACCCAGAGACCATCAGAACTCAGGACACACCAAGAGACCATCAGAACTCAGGACACCTGTGGGGAGCAGCCCGGACTAGACTGTTACTGGAATTAAGACTTATTCTATGCATCTGCTCTCCCACAATATGGCGCTGGGAGAGAAGTAAACAGCTTCCGCACAGCTGCCTCCAGTTCAACCAATAAACTGTAGGACTTGCTCCTGATTGGAGAGCAGCGTACTCGGCGTGTGGGCAGCCGAGTTGGGATTGGCGGAGGAGGACTATAAAGGAGGAGAGAGACGGCATGCACCGGGAACATCTATGGGGAACATCTAAGGGAACCCGTGCAGCCCCCGAGAAAGCCGGCCGGCGGTGTGCCGCTCCCCTGCGGAAGTGGGGAATGTGGCCAGG